TCGAAATTTAGGGTGTTGACTAAAATAATTAAAAGGTTAAGGAGCAAAGTGAGATTGGATATAAAATATAGAGGTGCAAAGTAAAATTGAACCATAATTTCAGGTAACAATGGAATGATAATTCATTGACCTCTTAGGTAGGTAGTATTTGGTTAACTGGAATGGAGTAAAATGAAATGATCATTCCATCAAAATATTCATTCTATATTTAGCTGTCTACAAAAATAATAAACAGTACATTACAAATGAAACCATCATTTACCATTGTAAGGAAATCATCATTCTGTAAGGAAGCTTAAGCAATGACTATTCCATTTCATTTTATCTCCTTCCAACGAACCAAATAGAACATTAAAGGAAGGGAAAAGCTACGAATCTAGGATTCTAACCATGAAAATTGTCCAGAAAATGTTGGATGGTGAGCCTTAGGCCTAGGTGTGCCTTTCATAACACTAGGGTAGTAGAGGTGGCGATGGTGGTGCATAGTGAGGGTGGTGATTGTGGTGGTGGAATGATGATGGTAGCTATGGTGATGGAGGCGAAGGATTGTTGTAGTTGTAGCAGAGGTAGTAGAGGTGGCAACAACAAGCGTAGTGGTGGTAGTGAAATGATGGTAGTACCTGTAGCGACGATGGCAATATGGTGGACGTGGTAGTGGCGGGATGATGGTAGCTATGGTGATGGAGGCGAAGGATTGTTGTAGTTGTAGCAGAGGTAGTAAAGGTGGCCACAACAACCGTAGTGGTGGTAGTGAAATGATGGTAGTACTTGTAGCGACGATGGCAATATGGTGGGCGTTGTAGTGGCGGCAATCGCAGTAGTAGTGGTGGTAGTAGCAGTAGCAGTGAAAGTGGGGATGGCAGGTAGGTGTAGGGGTGTAGTAGTAGTGGTGATTGTGGTGGTAGTAGTTATAAATTCAGTCAGTATTAAATAAGAATCATGTTATTTAAAATTTTTAACTTACATTTTAGGAGTCACCTAAATTTTAAGTGATACTAATTTTGATTATCAAATAAATTTAATTGATTTTGACTTAATACATTTAGTTTTAAATGCTGAATTGAGTTATCAAACATCACCTTAGACCAACTATTAATCTTATTGGTTTCTATATGCCTTTTTAAGTTATATAGCTTAGGAGTATTTTGGTAATTTTAAGAAATTTTTGTGCATGAGTTGTAAGGGTCGGTAATATGGGTCAAGTTATATAATTGGATTTTTATTTATGGATCTTATTTAGTTTTAAATTGGATTTAGAAGTCAAAGATTTAATTTCATAATCCTACTTGGCGTAGAAAGTTTCCAAAGTCCATAAAAAGTAATGCAATGCCTCTAATATAATGGAGATAAATTTTAAAGAGTTTTCAGAGCTATTTTGAACTCAGTAGCAAAAAACTACTACTTGGGTGATATTTGTTACGGAGAAACGCGAATTTTGCGCTCTCAAATCAGAAACATATAAGAAACTCACACCCTTTGAGAAAGAAACTCGTTCTTGTCGAGAAAAAAACTCGCATCCAATTGAAATAGAACCTCTCATACAAATCTCAACTAAACAAAAGAAAAACAACTCAAATTTATTCTAGTACTTTCTAGTTACATAATATTTATTCATACTTAGACAAAATCAATTTCTAGTTGACATCAATTTCCAATAATAATTCAAATTTTAACACATATTATAACTAAATAGAAAAAAATAATTGTTAGAATATTTTTATACATTTAATATATAAAATATATGCAATTCCCACCTTAGAAACCTCCATATTCCCTCGCTCTGCCGCCCCCGCATTGTGCAACTACGATTTTGAAGCTTCTTCGTGATTGTGTAGTTCATAGAGGTTTCTTCTTCTTCTTTATAATTTCTCTACACTAACCTCTAAAACCAGAGAACCAAATTTGCCTAGCTTTTATTTTCCTCTTTTAAACCTTATTTTACAAAATTGCAAAATTTTTCTCATGGGACTATAGCACCCAAAAAAAATATATATATATCTAAACCACACATTGTTTCTATTCACAGTGCCCAAAATCCTCAAACAACACCAAAACTTTTGAATTTTCATTCTCAAAATCCTATGCTTTTGTTACCACATATAAATCCTAAAAGCAGTTTGTTTGGCTTTCACGACCTTTTAGCCACAAAAATCAATTAAAAGCATCCCCAAAAGTCTAGGGTTTCTGCTGCTTTATATTAATGTTATGCTTGGTGCTAGTAGGGGTAATTCCCTAACATGTAAATGGATTTTAATATATGCACAAGTGTTCAAGTTCTAATAGTCCTAGGCTCTAATTTTAGTATCTTGGAAACTTTTCAAAATGTTTCTGGTTGCAAGTTTCAAAAAGCAAATAAAAGTAATGCTTATGCTGAGAATCTATATATACCATGACATTCCACCAAAAGTCATTGTCAAATAGCACATTGGTTAATGGTATTCAAAATTTCAGCATTACTGAAGCAACCACTGAACACTAAAATTTTACCTTTGTGCCATTAAGGCATGTTCATGAGCACTAACAAGTCAAGCTATACCTTGTGTGGACAGCTACCACATAAACTTAGAAATTGGGCACAAGCTTGGCTCATTAAATTGTTGAACAAACTTGAACTAGACAATTGTCAAGTTGAGCCTTAGCACGTTTGTAAATAGTTTGGCTCATTTGCAGCACTATTACAAAACCATCACAATTCAATTTAACGTTCCCTTTGAGAAGGATACCAAACTAAGATTTATATAACTTAGGTATTACATGGCTATTGATATACTTTAACAGGGTTAAACTCATCAAAAGAGCAAAACCCACTTGGTTAAGAATTTCATTTTGGAGGTGAACCTATTAAACCTAAAGCCACTCTCAACCCTGAAAGTTTTACATGAATGCTAATGAGCATGCATGCATGCATGTGCTCTATCTTGAGAGACAACTACTTTTCCAAGCCTCTTTCTCGACTGCATTATGCACAAATCTGGATCCCAAAATCTCACTTAAAGGACGAACAAATTTGTGATAGCTTTGCAAAAGTATGCAACCAAATAAAACTAAGAAAGAAACGAAGGCATCTGTTCTGTTAGAAGTTCCAGGTGGCATCAGTAAAAAATGAGGAAAAGTCAACTAAGATGGTCTTCCAAGTCTTATTAAGCAGATCTAGTGGATCCACTAGTATAGAGCTGATTTAGATCCAATGGAAGCACTGCAAGAACAAGGGAAGACCGAAGAGAAGGTAGGCCAAGGAAACTGTAATAACCCACATTCATGTCTTAGTCATGTTCATGTACATTGCATGATTTTGTCATGTTAAGCTTGCATTCGCAGACTTTGACTTGTTTTGCCTAAGTAAAGGTACTAGTCTTGTTTTGTGCTTATGTGATTTGCCTAAGTGTTGTATGCATGTTTTGTTCCTTCCTTGCTATGTCAAGCCTAGGTCATGTCAAGCCGAGGTCATCTTCAGTCTAGAAGTATCTTGGAACCCCTTTGTTTGACCTCCAGCTTTGCTTTGACATATTGGCCGAGATGTCATTATCTAGGCCGAGGTATGAATCACCAAGGCCGAGATGTGTATTATCTGGGCCGAGATGTTACCTTTGCACCCAAGTGATCTTGTCCTGGGGTGGTATGACCTAGACCGAGGTGTGGCACATCTAGGCCAAGGTGTGGCACAGCTTAGTCAAGTGTTGTCCTTCCTAGCCGAGGTCATTGTCACCTTAGTTGCCGAAGTCTTGTTGTTAGCCGATGTCATCACTTGCCGGAGTGCCTTAGGTCGGCTTCGCCAAGATGTGTGTTTTGTATGCTTGTTTGGTCGGCTGTAAGGATGTCGGCAATCCTGAAGATCATGTTCCATGTTTTGTATTTCATGTGTTATATTTATGTCGGCTTGAGAAGCCCTTTGCCAAGATGTAACATGTACTTTTGTAATCAAGTTATAAGTTATGTAAAGATGTATGCCATTCCATTTGACTATGCACTGCTCTTATGGACCACTTGTATTTTAGATTATTGCTTCCGCACTTGTGAGCCCCGTATATTGTACTCTGATTGTGTGTGAATTTTGTAAGTCGGCCTTCGGTAATCTCGGATTACTGGCCATCACGGCACCAAACTACTAGGGGCGGTTTGGGGGCGTGATAGAAACAGTCTATTTGACAGCTCAAGAGGATAAGCTCGAGAAGAGTTAATTAGATAAAAAATACTTCGGTAACCAGTTTTAGTAACTGGCATTTCATATATGTCCATAGATGTACCAATATGTGTGTAACAAGTTAATGGATCACTACACAGACAATGCTAAAATATGCTTTGATCTTATGTTCAATAATTTCTAAAATGGTGAATCATTCTTTCCAACATGTTAAACTCAATTTTTTCTAGATCTTTCTACAGCATTTCACATATGTCCGTAGATGAACCAATATGTATTTACCAAGTTAATGGATCACTAAACAGATCATGCAAAATTAATCAATCATATATGAAAAATAATTCTAAAATGGTGGTTCGCTATTACCAACTCAATAGACTTAATATTTTCTAGCTCCTTTCTACTAGATGAAATGATGAGTATAGCATGAAGAAGCAGAAATACTTGTATATGAATGAACAAGCATGACTTGAACGAGCAATTGATCATTCATAACAAAATGCTAAAGGCAAGTAAAAAGGTTGTTCAACTTGTTCTCTAGAATTTGTAATGTCTTCAATGCATGTCAATTTAGATACATTCCAGATTTAGTATTTCCTCAACTACATGGTCACGTCATTGTAGGCATCAACATCAAAGACAAGGTGCATTTTGTTTAAGATAACGATGTTGGGTTGGAACTGTGGCTTCAGATTGTGTGTTCATCAAGACCAATTATTTGCATTCATAACCAAAGATAAATATGAATGCAGGCACATCATCTCCAACATGCATTAAAAACACACACAAACCCATAAGTCAAGATTTTAAAAGAGTGCCAGAAAGGTAGGTGAATTACGATCTGAGATTAGTGAGATACCTTCTGCTTCAGCAACATAAGCAATGGCCTGAAAGAACTCCAAACCTTTCAAGAAGGTCTTGACTTTCCATGACCGACTTAACTTCAGTCTACCACCGTCATTGACCAAGTTCCACTCAGGAACCTAAACAACAAAATTTTTTCCCCCATTGATAAGTACCTAAATGACAAACAGTATATCCAAAAAATACTTTATATAAAGAACAAAATTGATGTCAAACTCAGATCTACACGCAAACCTTTGAGATCAACTCATGGGCTGCTTGTTCAGTCATGAGACTCATATCTTGCGAGTCGCATACCACACACTTCTTGGTTGACAAATCTGATGTGGCAAGCAAATTGTTACTGACAAGGAATAAGCAATTCCATGTAACCAAGTTATCCCCAATTGTAGAATTTCTCTTTTGTTTTTCTTGTGGTCTTACCTAAGGGGGCATATTGGTTGAGGTTGATTCTTCTTTTTAATCAATTAAACCCCCTTCCCCTCCCAAACTGGACAAGCTTCTTCCAAAATCCACACCATACACAGCCCACCCTCTCTTGCCAAGAGCACCGCTAATTAGCGACTGAAGTAGTGTCATAAGTAGGGATGCGCACAGTGCAGTTTAAGGATAAAAATATAACCAAACCGCGGATGGCAGATTGATAACCAACTTGCCACCACAAAAAAATCGACCGATCGGTTGGAAATTATAACCTGATTGAAAAATAACCTTAAAATGGCAACAAATAAGTGAGAGGTAGCCTTCAAACACTTAAGAAGACCAAATGGAGGATTGCCCCAATAAAAAATTTTAAAAAACATCCGACCCAATCTAATCTAGATGGCCCTAAATCCTTCTCTAGAACAAACAGCAATCATATTGGAGGGTGACAACACAAGCTCCAACAGCTCCATATATAACACTGATTTGTTACAAATTCCATATCTCAGATCTCTCACACTGATTTCTATTAGCTTATTTCAAATATATCAATTAGTTGTGGCAAAAATTGTGTAACCTCCCTAGACAAAAAACAAAGAGACCTAAGAGATTTGAGAGAGACAGAGAGAGATTGATCTGAGAGAGACCGAGTATACCTGAGATGGAAGACGGCCACTGAAGGCGGTGACGCGAGGAGGCTGAAGGACGGCGACGCGATATGGTGAGGCTACGGGAGGCGGGAGGTTAAGAGAGAGAGGCGGAATGTGTGGATAAGGTTTTCAGCGTGGTTTAATTACCTATTTTAATTAAATTTTTTTGACTTAAGCCATCAAATTTTGGGTTAGTTACCAATAAATTGTAAAGGTTGAAAATGTGTTTTATTTAGTCTTAGAAATATTCTTTTGATCCAATTGGTTTTTTTTGTTGCAGAAAGACATAAATACCACTAAAAGTAGGCTGCTTCAACGCCTAATACATGGGTTTGGTGATTTTGGTGCGTGTGGTGGTGACATGCCACATTTCTATGGTTTAGGTGTTGGTAGATGGTTATGGTTCTGTTTGGTGCAGTTTAAAAGTTGCTTATTTCAGTTTTCAGTTTAATTTAAGTTATTTTGATGTGTTTGATTTAGCTTATACCTTATAGCTTATAGCTTTTTGGAAGTCAGAAATTAGCTTATTCTTTGAGTGGGGCAGGAGATGCTTAATTTATAAGTCAGAAATCAGCTTATGTTCATGGTTATAAACTATAAGCTGTTTAAGCATAAGCTATAAGCACTTTTCCACAGCTCTACCAAACAGGGCCTATGACGTGCTATATTACGCGCGTGATTTTGGTGCCACACATTAAGAAAGTGCACTAAGGCTCTTTATACTTTTTGTCTTGGATCGATGTATGTGACGTGACACACACAATTGTACCACAACCACTGCAAATTGAATGAACTCCAAGTTTCATGTTATGCAATTGGAATGTATGGCATAGCACACAACTGACAAACAAATACACTAAGCATCTACCACACACACGAAATGCAAACACGACCGATTTAGGAATCTCCGTTGATGCGTCACACAATCACACACCTTGAACACCCCCAACATAACAGCAGCCCCAAAAACCTTAACGTAATGATGTGAATGTCTTGTACACCAATATTTCAATTACCAAATGTTTGGAAGTAATCCTACCAAAATCGTAAAACAAGAAAAGGAAGAGTATAATTGACCACTCAATGTTACCAAACAAAGGAAATAAGATCAACTGACAAGATATTCCCCCATTAATAAAACTAATCAGAGCAATAGAAATAACCTTAGGACCAATCGGTAAAACTGTTTGTGAGATAAGATTTATTGGTAAATATCCCTTAAATTTTTTACTTAAAACAAATACAAAAAGTATAGTCAAAACCAAATACAAAAAGTATAAAAAAAAAATTGATTATTTTTTACTTAAAACAAATACAAAAAGTATAAAAAATTGATAGTATGATAATGGGAAATTGATCAGGAAATCTCATTTTATAGAATTATAATTTATAAGGTCCTAAATGATTTTTTGGTGACTGAGTGGTCCCTTAAATTATTTGTTGATTGTTTTGCCATTGTTAGTACAATTGGTGAATAGGTGACATGATTATGTATGGGAAATGTGGTGGGGTGTTTATATGTCATATTGTTCAAAAAGCGCACTAGTAGCTTTTTAAATTTTGGTTATTTTTAACACGCGCAGTGTGGGACATAAATTCCTTACTATTTGTTTTTTGGTGCGTGACGTGAAGACACGTAGTAATTCAATCAAATTGAGTCTGCCACGTTGGAGTGTCACATGTCTCGTTTAGAAAAATACACTAAGGAGTTTTTTATTTTTTTAGAATATCACAACATACCCACCACGTAGGAAGGTTGTGACAACCCTACTCTGTGTTATGCTAATTAATCTTAATTATGCTTATAATTATATGTTTTATATGATTTTAAGTACTAATTATATGATTATATGTGTTTTTGAATTTCTATCTATTCACCGTAGGAAAATCTGTTCGATTTTCTGTTATAAAATTTAAATTGAAGGCTGTAGAGGAGACAAAAAGCGAAATTGATTGTCTCATTGCGATTAGCGTAATTTTTAGAGTTCATGGTAAAATTTAATTAAAAATTGATTCGGCTAAAAATAATTAGATTAATTTGATTTAATTAAGTTCATTTGATTAGGCCTAAGCCTTGATTAGTCAATATGATTAGCGAGACCTATATATGTGGTAATTAGGGGCTTAGCTCATATCTTTGAGCTCATTTCTCACCTCTTGGTTGAGTTTATGCACTTTAGAGAGGGAAAACACTTGATTTAGAGAGAGATGGACCAAATTCTTGGAGAATTGACTTCAAGATTGAAGAATTGGGAAGCTAGGCACAAGGATTTGCTAGAATTAGAAGGATTGAAGGCTCCAAGTGAGTGTTTGAACTCTAATTCATGAGTTTAAGTTCATGCATATATGTATTCAAAGAAGAATTGGTGATTTAATGTAGAATACAAACTTAATATGAAGAATTTGGTGCCAAATTACTCATGCATGCATAATTTTGTTGAGCTACATGATTTTGACCATTATTTTTACCATTTGAAATGGCATTAGAGTTTATATTACACATGCATGCACAATCCATGTAGTTATGAAGCTTGGTTGCATGTGTTTTGAAGTTGTCAAGAAGAATATGCAATGATTTGGGAATTGGATCATGGTTTTGGACAACCGGTCTCAAATTACCTATGTTCTCATGCCATACAAAAACATGAGCTTGGGGCCTTTGAACATCAAGTTTGAGCTTCAAATACAATTCTGGAAATTCCAGAATTCGACATGTCTACTCGAGCGAGGAAAGTGTTGCTCGAGTGTAAAAATCAAGCTCCCAAAAGTTTTACAGAGGTTTGCACGGTAGCTCGAGTGGCAAACCTTGCGCTCGAGCAAACCCTGTTTTACATGGCTCGTCGCTCAAGCGACAGAAGTCTCGTTCGAGCGTAAAAATCATCCAACTAGTACTTTTACAGAGTTTTACAGACGTGACCAAAGCTGCGCTCGAACGGAGTGCCCTGTTTCAGAAACTTTTGAAAAACTGTTTTGTGTTCCGTTTTCCGTTCTCATTCATTTCTAAGCACTCTTAGGCATGCATTGAGCATTGTAAATGAATTAAAGAAATAAGAAAGAGGCCTAAGAGAAATAAACAAGTTAAGAACGGATTGAACTGCTTGTGATCCAATGTGTTATGAAATGTGTAGGGTCAAGCGCAATGGCAAATCCATCGACGGAACACTATGAGTAATATCTTAGTAAAGATATTTTTGTGTATGCATTATTTTCTAAATATTACCTATGCGGTAAGTTTCTAAACTTCTGAATTGATGCTATGAATGGGTATTCTATCCATTTGATTCGCAATGAGATATGTGAAGTACTTAATGTACGAATGTGAAATGGGCCCAAGACCGTTCGGTTTATTTGAAGAGGATATAAATTGGGCCTAAGGCCGTTTTGTATAACTGTTAAATGGGCCAAAGGCCGTTCTGAATAAGCAATTGATTGGACCTAAGATTGTTTGAATACAAAGGCGAATGTAAACATGACATGGGTCTAAAAGTGCGCACAAATGTGAATATGAATTGATTGGACCTAAGGTCGTCTTGAATACGAAGGCGAATGTGAACATGATCATGGGTCTAAAACTGTGCACAAATGTGAATATGAATTGATTGGACCTGAGGTCGTTTTGCATACAATGGACCTAAGGTCGTTTTGTCTAAGTATTGGACCTAAGATCGTTTTGCATATAATGGACCAAAGGTCATTTTGTAAATATGGATTGGACTTGAGGTCATTTTGTATATGGATACGATATATGATATGATGGACCTGAGGTCGTTTTGCGTTGATATTGAGCAATAGGTTTAGTTACGAATTTTGGTTAAATGAATCTCATTCATGAACTCCTTTACTTTGGTATTATTCACTGGGCGTTGGCTCACTCTTTATTTATATGTATGTAGGTGAGCAGTAGGATGTCCAGCCCCAGCCCCAGCCCCAGTGAGCTATGAGAAACCAAGTTTTGAGGAGTGAACCAAGGTCGCTCACGCAAAAGGCCTCACTTTTGTTTTGCTTTTCCTTTTTGTTCTTTTATGGTCATGTATGATCAAATTTGTATATAACCTTGGTTTTTGTTAATATTGACTTTTGTATAATCCTATACTTATGTAATACATGCTATGGATGTTTGTATAGTGTGAGTTATTACATATATGAGAAAAGTTTTTGGTTAAGCCTTGTATGCACAGCTCATTGGACAGTCTTTGCAAATTCTGCTTCTGCAATTTGGCCCTTATTATTAAATATGATTTGATTTCTGACTGAGGCTGTAGGTAATCCTATGATTACTGATCGGTTATGACTCTAATCCATATGGGCGGGTTGAGGTCATCACAAAGAGGTGGTGGGGTGTTTGTGTTTCACGTTGTTCAAAAAGAGCACTAATAGCTTTTTAACGTTTGGTTGTTTTTAACACGTGCAATGTGGGACGTGATTCCTTACTAATCATTTTTTAGCGCGTGACGTGAAGACACGCTGCAACTCAATCAAGTTGGGTCTACCACGTTGGAATGTCACATGTCACGTTTAGAAAAAGCACACTAAGGAGTTTTTAATTTTTTTAGAGTGTCATAACATACCCGCCACATTGTCACATGTGAAAAAAGTATACTAAGGAGTTTTTTATTTTTTTTGGAGTGTCACATCATACCTACAACGTTGTCACATTTGGAAAAAGTACACTGATGATGAGTAAAAATTTTAGAATGTCACATCATACTTGTCACGTTGTCACATTTGAAAAAAGTATACTAAAGAGTTTTTAATTTTTTTAGAGTATCCCATCGTTGGAGTGTCACATTAATACCTGCTACATTGGAATATCACACCATACATGTCACATATTCTAAAAAAAAAAAAAAAAAAAAACCAAACTTCCCCAATTAACTAGTAATGTATATCTGTCTAACCAATACCCATCCACGTTTGGAAAAGGACTTACTGGTCACACACTACATCTAATTCTAATTCCCCTGTCGTCGGCGAGATCTTCAAAAATACATGATCCCCAGTCTCAAATTCTAATTCCCTCTTTCTCTGGTCGGCATAACTCTTCTGCCGGCTTTGTACAGTTTTAATCTTCTCGGTT